ACTTTGAATTGTCGGGCATGCGCAGAGATCGGCTGCGGGGAAATGTATCGCTGCTTGGGAACGATAGTGGCGTAACTTGGAGAATGCGATTTTTCGGGGGAAAGTTGTTCGAAATTTGCTTTTAAGTAAGAATTTAGTGGCGATCGTGTGACGTAAAATTAGTGAATTTAGAAATACACCATTTTGTATAATAAACATAGTATACCTATGGAATTTATTTATGCAAAAAAATCGAAATTAGTATTTCTTGAGTTACGCCACTAGAAACATCGCTGTTTTTCTATATTTTTTCATTGTCTCACTTGAAATACAAGAGTAATTGAAACACAGCAATCACAAGCTTATTATTCAAAGTTGGACAGTATATACGTGGGTAGATGAGGTCCTTTCTACAGTATTACATTCTTCGCAAGCTCCACAGGGGAAGATTTTTATCTAAGATACTCCGGGGATGCTTGAAAAATAAGATCGACGTAAAACCTTCCCGATTCAGAAACTAAAATATTCGTTATTTACTAAACTATCGCTTTGTTTCTCAATTGAAACGTAAGGAGCTCCGTGTATTCCTAAGGAAGCGCTTAATTTCCGTATGTATGCCACGGGTTCGTTTCGAGGCGGCGCTGAATTCCTGTTCCAGGCTGTTCCATATTTATAAACGCGCGGCAACGATAAGATAAATAATAAGTTACAGCCGGTTAACGAAGACACGGTGTAAATCGTGCCGGCGGTTTTTCACGTCGCGGCAAACGGGGGGAGAGAACGCGAAGATCGCTTTTGCAGAGGGACAGTTTTATTGTGAACGAAGGGAACGCGAAGCTTGAAGCGACGTCGCACGGACAGTTGTGTTTCCGTATTATGCGAAACTCTATTGTTTGTCCGGCGACATTATCGTTGCGGCTGCTGCAACGTGGTTGCTGTTTATTTAAACGCTACTTCTTTTCTGCTCGGCTAATTTTAATGGCCTCGTGTAAAAGTCGCTGGTAAATCGCGCAACGATACGATCGTTTAGCTTGAAACTAGGCGTAAGAATGGAAATGCAATAGGAACACAGGTAGATTCAGTTTTTAAATAGTTAATTTGCGATGGAAAAATAGCGGAAATGTACTCACTGCGTTTCAAACTGAGGGCTTGAATATGTGCCGTAATTATGGCGCACAGCTTTTCACGTTTGTTGACGAGGTAATCCTTTCGACGCAGCTGTCGAACCAGTATTCCACCGACGTAATTTATGTGGTCGCGTAAATTCAGCACCAAAATGTGTAGCTCGTGCTTGCCTGAAATAAACGTACCTGTACGTCGCGAATCGATAATGCAGTAATTTTTTTAAGAAGATACACCACCCCGAAGCGTGTGAAATTGGGCAAACTTTGTCATACTTTTACTTCTCCATTTTGTAACGTTTTTGCTTTCTAAAAATTTGAGGAAGAAGATGAAAGTTACGTTTGTATCCCCTGAAAAAATTGTAGCTTTTCATTCGATAGTTCTCTGTGAAAAAAAATTCTCAAACTTTACCTGATTTTAGACGTCTCAGGGTGGTTCACCCCTTTAACGCACAAATCGAGAAAATATGCGAATGAATTAAAATAAAAATGAAATAAGAGTCTGAATTTGTATTCTTCCTGGAAGAATCGAAGAATTCCTCGATTTTTAATTCTCTGAAAACCGAGAGGGCAACGAGCGAGTACAATATTTGAGATTGCACCGGGGTTATTTTGAAATTGGAGGCCGCGCGCTTATTTCGGCGTGACTAAGAGACGAGACACTTCGAAGGAATCTTTGAATTCGCGTTGCAATCTTGATAACGGCCCGAAAGGGCTCACCCTCTGTACACACCAACCGAAGATTGCAGTCTCTCTCTCCCAACCCTTCTTCGTTTATGCTCCCCGCGTTCCACAGTGAAACGAGCGCGACTCTCTCTCTCTCCATCTGACTATTTTCTTTTGATCATTCTGAACACGAGTTCGGATCGTAACTCCGGGAGTAAGTCGTCGGTAACTAAGTTAAATTACGGCTAACTTCGGTGTTAAAATTTAAATGACAGGATTTGACGAGGAAGCTCATCTCCCGCGATACAAGATGTACGGAAAAGGAATGTTTGAATAACTCTCACGTATCCTGGATTAAGCAACGAAGATTTTTTCTTCCTTACTTGTAATCATTTATTCACGTCGACGTGCGGGTGATTAATACTTTTCTGAAGTAAACTACACGTTGATTGGGTCGATTTGATGTTTCCTCATGGGTTTTAGCTCAAGATACGCGCAATCTCTCCCCTGTTTTTCCCTATGCATGTTCAACGAGCCGGAACGAAGCAGCATCGTGTATAGAGATAAAAGAAGTGCTTTCCCCTCGAAAAAAAAAAAAAAGGAAAAAAGTAGCACTCCAAGTCAAAGAACCTTCTTGCCTCGAAGTCAACGAGGTCGCTTGTCTGTCTCGTCTCTACGACCTCTTGTCTCGTCAGCTCCTGCCAAAGTTTTATTCGTGCAAATTTCGAACTCCGTGCGTTCAATTGAGCATCGTGAACGAAGAAGTGTCGTTCTTCCTGCCGTCCGTGAAACTCTCGAGCGAAGAAAAGAGCGAATTTTTCACGTGAAAATCGCGACGTTTCGTACACACGAGGTGAATTATCGGCGCAATCTTCGTTATTTCTTTTTACGACCATCTTTCCTTCGGCAATTTTTACCCTCGAATTAACCATTGTCTGAACTTCTCTGGCAAGAGTGTGTTCCGTAATAAACGTGCTCGCTGGCAACGTGTTTATCAGTCGCCCACGTTTCCCACGCATCATAGACGTTTCCATCTCTCATTGAATTACCCTTACTTTTCCATAGCAGACGCGCCTTTTGTAGATGCTGATGTTGCGGACGTATCCGTAGGGACGAGGCTGTCGAGTCGCTCTCCGATCGCCGTCTGTCGCCGTCTGGCAACCCGTAAATATCTAACAACAGTCGATCCACTAACGACGAAAATTCTCCTTCCTTCTTCTCTAGTGGATTGGGCAACGGTGCCGGATAAGTCTAAATACAGACAAAATCTTCAAATCTCAATTCTACACGTAACGTGAATCGAATATTGATAAATATTTATTTACAAACACCTTAGGTTTCCAAACGTCAATTTCTCTTTCCGCAACCTCGACGACAGTCTCACACTCGTCCTGAATTATTTTCTCAGTATCGCCCATAGATTTCCATCGTTTCAGACGTTTCCTCTCCACTTTAACCGGCGCGCAACTAGCCCTTCTAACCGCTCTCCTACGGTTCAGTTCCATAAAATCTGGACCCTTCCAGCTTCTCTGAATGATGTTACATCTTCTCCGCTCGTACAACGAAGGAAACTGATATCCGTCCGCGCAGTACAACAAATTTCGCGTCTGTTGAGTGACGTAGACGTCACCGAACACGCGCTCGTTCTCCACGGAGACGCATTTCACGCGGTAGCTGATCTCCGCGTACTTCTTCAGGGGCGTCACGTTGCAGATCATGGTTCGTCAACGTGACCACGAGAACGAGAATTTACTGCAATTTTCTCCTGGGCCGTCTCTAGCGAACAAGTTCAAAGATCAGCCCGACATTGCCGCCGATGGGCAAACATTGATGAATGATAATTGTCCCGCGACATCGTCGATAACACGTTCACAGTTGAAAATTGTCGCGTCGCGAATTCGTTCTTGGTTAACTCGGCCTCGTTTCGAATCGCGAAATGTCGCGTCATCGGGCCAACTTCAACCCGGAAACTCATTAACAGGTACAACCTGTGTAGAGGTGTGCATACGTGTCGCGCTGTTTTCCACGTTTCGAATGCAAATTTCGTTAACGAGACAGGCTAAATATAAATTTCCCTTTTCACTTCTGTTCTCCGTTTACTTTCGACAGAAACGGTTCCGGGTGAATCGCCCGTTCGCGCAGTTCGATGGAAAAGGGAGCCGCGTGTCCACGGAAGGTGGAATAAAAAATTGGCATAATCAAGCGATCCTTCTTCCTCGTAACGGCATTCGGTTAACAGATAAATTACAGGACAATACTTCTCTGACATTTCTACCGTGGCACAGATAAAGAACGACCTTCCACGCAGATGTAATTATCTGACATTTATCATTTTTGATAGGCGCGTACACGTAATTGCTCCCATTGCCGCGCTGGTTAACGGGGAAAATCAAGGTTGAGGACTGGCAGTGAAAAAAAAGAGGAAGAAAGAAACACGCGTTTTCATTATTCTAGGCAAAACGAAAACGATTATCGCGACGTGCAAGTTTGAACGTCGTAAATTGCACCGATAATATTTAACGAACGGCGAACGATACCGATGCACTCGTTGCAATTACGGGAAATAAAAATGCTCCTTCTTTCGCTCTTTCGTTTGAAAATGTGTTTTTAAAGAGAGATTCTCGCACAGATAGCTATGGAACTAATAATACGGAAAATTTATGGCACGTTCAAATGTCCCGTGTTTCACGCTTCCGTGAGTAACAGTTTAAATTCGTGGCGCGTAATTAGAACCACCGAGTGTCTATCTATTTTTAATAGATATTTCGTTTCACTGTTCACTTCTCTCACTCGCTACGTACACTTCGCACTGCTTTCTCTTTTTCAAATAGATCCATTTAACGTTTCAAGCTGCAAGTGTGTGCTTTTCTTTCTTGGACGAGTTTTTCACGTACGACGTGTGAATTGTAATTTCGAAGAGCGATAATTTTCTCGTTGTTCCAACGGTGTGAAATATTTTCGTGGCTGTTTTACTACATTCGCTCCGAGCGTCGTAACCCTTATCACGAGACCAGTAATTCGCTTCTGGTGGCCAGACCGCAACTGGAAGTGCCGGCGATGATAATCGTTTCATTAAGTCCATACCTCCACTTAGGTTGTCGGTCGGCTAGTTGACAGAGCTGGTGCACACAACAAACGTACAACAGCTGTCGTTATTTATAATCACCACGTGTCTGGCGGAAACGTTTGGAATTTCTCGCGAGTTAATAACACGGACAAATACCGTACGTGTTCTCTTCATCGAGTAAATGTTATTTGTAGGAGAAATAAATTGTGATAAAACTATGCGAAGAATAAATGTCGAATTTCGTAAATTTAGCCTTTCTTTTAGAAGTTCGGTTTTATTTTGTAATTCGTGTAAAATAGTGGACGAAGAATAAATCTTACCAGTCACGTTCCACTGTAACACATTCCTCTGAGCTTTCCGATAGGAAATTCGAAGGGAAGTACGATTTTAAGGCGGTCATCGAAACCACTGCTGTTATCGGCGTCGCTGATAGCGCGACCGATGTAATGTACTGCATACTCAGCTAGAATTTTAAATGCTCCCTGGGTGTGCAGTAGTCGTTCACCTGCTCGGTTCAATAACCCTTTTCCCGACAAAAAAAAGACTGCTCACCGATGAAGCGGACCCTGTCTCTGCGTTCACGAGTGCAGATAGGTATGAAATATTCTTTAGGAAGTGAGGGATTAAACGATCTTGCCTGACGGAGAAAAAAATCACGGTAAACAGTCCGCTTCGATATTCGTTTAATTGGAAATTGGTCTGAGAACGGGGAGATGGGAACTGGCTCGATCGACGAAATGAGAATCTTACGAACATCGCGAAATTTCAAATTTCCAGAGACTCTAATTTTCAAACGTTCCAATTCTCAAACATTTACATTTTCATATTTTCCAAATCCCCAATTTTCAAACATTCCAATTCTCAAACTTTCGTATTTGCAAATTCCCCAATTTTCAAATTTTTATGCTTTCACACGTTCAAATTTTCAAACATTCCAAATCTCAAAGATTTAAATTCTCCATTCATACTTTCAAATTCCCCAATTTTCAAATTTCCGAAGACTCAAATATTCAAATTGTCAAATTCCCATATTTTCGCGCACTCAAATTTTCAGAGGTCCGAATCGTCAAACATTCGAAATTTAAAAAATTCCAAATTCACAAATTCACACTCTCACCGTGAAAATCACGTCACCGAAAAATCCGCCGGACGAGAAATCGGAGCCCGTTTGATCGATTCGCTTGTCGCGCGCAAGATATTGTCGCTATAGGAACCAAACATTTATAGCCGATGTCGGGACAGAAATTGCACCGTATTTCCACGGTGTTTCACGGAGATTATGCTTTACGGTTCGTGGCATTACGACACGTTCACGAGTCGATTGAGCCTCTGGTAATCCGAAAATGATCGAAACGCGATGCGTGTGCAGCGAAAAGAAGGGGGAAGCGAAGGGGGAAGAAGTTCCTTTCGGTCCACGCACCGATGACATTTATCGAACCTGCAATCTTCCAACACGATTTATGTACCCACGTAAGTCTGAATAATTTATTAACGTGACGTTTTTCATATTTAACGAGTAACACGGTTTTAATTATACGACCGGATCGATTCGCGACGTATCGATCGACCTTACCATTTTCTCTTCTTCTCTTTTTTTCTCCAATAAAAAAAAAAAACAAACATTCAACTTGCAATATTTTACACGTACGTAGTTCGTTTAAAATTCGTCCGTAAGATTGATTTTACTTGTCGCGAAAACAACTCATTTCGCGGTAGACTCCGGCGACGAGAAGTTCTTCGTACTAAAACGATAACGGTCTGCTATTAATAAGCCAGTGTTGACGATCGGTACGTTCGACGAAGCTTATCGGTAATACAGACATTTTTACATATGTCATAGGAACCCTTCACAAGATAGACATTGTATTCGTAATATACGCGATTTCATTACTCCCAACAATCAATCTTTCATAAGAGATTACTTGGTCTGGCGATAAAAAATCGTACCAAACGTATCGCGATATCTACACACGCTTGTATCTTCGAAAACTGTTTCCTCCACCAAGTAAAAGTGTGCAGCTCTGAAAAGTAAATCCTGCCACATCAATTTTTTCCACTTCTCAGAAAAAGAAAATCGAGGCAACAACCGCGAATACAGTTACGTTGCAATTCCCATCGCGTCGAATCTCTCGATGTAACCCGACAACAAAAAACTGTCCCTTGAGAAAATTAAGTTTCCTGCAAGAAACCACGAATCAAGATTACAAGCGACTGGGCGAACAAGTATTCCCTCTAAATTTTACCCCTACACCTTAAAAAGGAAAAGAAAATGGTTGGAAATGATGAATTTTAATATCTCTAAGAAGAATACACGAGGCGTGCGAGAGTGTAATTTCAATAAAATTGAATTTCAAGATAGAAACGAGGCGGGGGTATCAGCAGCCGAACACACAGAGGCTCTGTTAAAGCGAGCAATTGCGGGGCGCTCTTGTGTAAAATGAATAAAACATCGAATTTCCACGGAACTGGACGTTCTCTGCTCGGGTAGTTACACTGTACACGGTATATAGCTGATATATTTATCCAATGGTATCTGTCGAACGGTAACCGTCGTCGGTTTATTCGCCCTGGTCTGAGCCGTCGCGGAACGCCGCTCCTCCGTCACTCGTTCAGTGCTTGTCCAGCATCTGAGCACACCATGTGCTTCCTCTTGCTCGTTTATCTCCTCTTATCGGTCACCGCTCAAGACGTTAGCACGGAGGAAGTGGACTGCCAAGTTTATAACCATCTTTACGTCTGCCTGGCGAACGGCGTGCTGCATAGCGTAGCGTTCGAGGATGTCAACGCGGTGCAAACCATCGAGGACATAGAGCTACATCTCGAGGGACTCGGGATCGTCGACATAGCCAAGGACGCTTTTCTCGAAGTCAGCAATTCCTCTGCCCTCTACATCCGCGACAATCAATTATCGACCGTGTGCAAACACTATTTCACCGGTTTGGACCAGCTCGCTTATTTGGACATGAAGAACAACACGATAGGCGAGATAGAGGACGGTGCGTTCGCGAAATTGCACAGCTTAGAGACGTTGTTGCTCGATTACAACAACGTCACCGCCTTCAGACCCGGCATGTGGAAAGGTCTGAGCGATCTTCACGAGTTATACGCGACGAACAACAACGTCGCATTGAAGAGGAACATGTTCCGAGGTCTGAGGCATTTGGAGACGTTGGCGTTGGACTCGAATCATATCGCAGAGGTGCCTGTGGGAGCGTTCAACGGATTACCTCATATCGATCTACTGTACCTCTCGAGGAATAAAATCTCATCGCTGCAACCCGAGGTTTTCCGCGGTCTGAGCGATATCAACGAGTTGGATCTGGGAAAGAATCGTTTGAAGTCGGTGTCCGGCGGGATGTTCAGACACTTGAAGAACCTGAATTCCCTGTGGCTGAACGGCAACCAGATCGTCATACTGAAGGCTGACACGTTCGAGGGATTGGATAATCTGTCGCTGCTCTTCCTCAACGGCAACGAGCTACTTCGTCTCGTTGATATGTCTGCGTTCGCCAAGATGAAGAACGTCACCATCGATCCTGGCTTCAAGATAGCTGGGGCAACGGTGGAGAATGTTTGCAAAGTGCAAGGACGGTTTCGGTGCAATCACGTCGCGAATCAATCGCCTTACGAGTGTACGAAGATCGAATCTTAAAAAGAGTGAACGGTGTGTCTTTGTTTTTAACGAATGAACCAACCTATAGCCTATTGTATCGGTGAATTGTCGCGAACAATCGACACGAATTTTCTTCGTACCGATGTTTCGCTGTAATGTCTTCAAATATTGTCATATGAATTTTTATACTCTCGTATTAAACGATGCTTGTTAGATTTATGGAAAATATACATCTCATCCGAAACAGATCACTCGTTCTTTCAGATGAAAAGGACTGTTTTATCCGATAGAGGTGATTTTTTGCAGGGGTGTTCCAGGGATACCGACAGGACGAGCATCCACTTCCTCATCCTTGTTACAGGAGCACCTCGATGGATTACGGATGGTACGCACCGACGATTCACACCGTGCCAGCCACGTTTTATCCACGAAATACTTCTTTCAGCGTGAACTACAGCCGCGGTGGCATGTATCGTAATTTCTCTCTGAACACGGAACTGGATAAAAGCGTAGTTTGAACCGTTCCAATTGGAACGAGCGTGAAATTTTATATCAACAGTGGAGTGTCGTAATGTGTTCAATAAATTGAGAAAAGAAAGAAAGAAAAAGCGACGCTTGCGAGTCTGTAGAGATACTCGAATTTAAAACATCGCAGCCAGACGCTGTATTCAAGAGTTAGCGGCGTTTAAATCGCGCAAATAAGAGGAGAAAAAAGGAACGAACGACCGATAGGGGAGATAGGGTTGCGAAATTGACAACAGTCAGAAGTATTATATTTTATTCCTTTTTTTTTATTATTATTGTTATTATTATTATTACAGTTTAGCTTACGTATCTCAGTAATCGTATTTCAACAGAGACTCTTCTATAGAGACTCGCCACGCAGGATATACAAGGTGTCTCGAAATCTAACGCGGTATCGAAAGCGTCATTTTTCACTCTCTTTCTCTCTCTCTCTCTCTCTGTCTTGTTTCGTCGATTACGATTACTGGGATTGATTTGCTTACGTTTCAACTAACGCTCGTCTTCGTTACAGCTTCGTTAGGATTTGTTATTTTATTTATTCATTTATTTTTGGTTTAATCGGGGTCTGAATGTACTCTGTGTTTTTTTTTTCTTTACTCGACTTTGGA